ATCGTTTCTCTTTGTCTATATCGTTATAGTTGTGGTGTGGACTCTGCTATTCTTTAATATTGAGAACTATATCTTTATCGTTATCTTTATAGTTATCGTCCTTGGTGTGAACGGGCCTTAAAGGCTTTGCTACTACTAGCTAGTTTGTAACTAATTCTGTATTTGTTTGCACCATTTGTTTTTGAGATAAAGCTCTCTGTAAAGTAATATGTAGTTGCATAATATGACATTTACCTTCAATGCAATTCAATCAATCTGCTGTTTTATTCAAATTATTACTCCTGGTTGCAAATATTTCGTTTATATTTAGAGTTACGTTACTAAGTTTAATGGTGCAATGCAAAAATATTTAGTAGTGCGTAACCAGCCACAGAAAACCAAAGAACATTTTGAAGCAATGTCACCACAGGCAGATTTTTCCAGGTTGAAAGCGAGTTTTGTGAGTGTTGTTTTGTTGTGTGTTAGTGTCCCACAACAAACATTCAAACATATAATCAGCACCAAAATCCGGCTGTGAGATCTTTCTCTGTTTTTTATCCTCCGATTTCAATTAAGCTTCTAACAGCGAAGCCAGAGACAATATCACAGCTCAGGAAATGACTCCTCTTTTCCTCAAGGACGAGGCAGATAAGCACCATCTCTCTCTTGATCTGGTTTCCGTGTCTTTCTCTCTCCGCAGCCACTTCGCTGAATGTAGGCGATCATTTAAAGAAATAAGGTGATTTTCTTTGAGGTCTCACAGATCAGAGATGATCTGGTCTCCTCGTCAACACAGGAACAAGCAGGGCAAAAACGTCACCGTCTGAATCAAATACTGTAATTCTACTAGTTACTACAAATATGACAGATTTCACACTGATTTACTTCAACTTGACAAGACTGAACTTATACCAGTGATGAGATTTTAGCATGTTTTAAAAGATCTGGAATTTAAAAAAAAGGTAACTCTTTAGTTCAGGGACCAATTCTCACTATTAACCAGTTGCTTATTAGCATGCCTATTATTAACATATTGGCTGTTTATTAGTACTTATAAAGCATTTATTCTGCATGACCATATTCTACATCCCTAATACCCCATACCTAAACTTAAAGGGTTAGTTCACCCAAAAATGAAAATTAGGAGTAAAACACAGCCTAATTTTCATTTTTGGGTGAACTAACCCTTTAACAACTACCTTACTAACTATTAATAAGCAGCAATTAGGAGTTTATTGAGGCAAAATTCATAGTTAATGGTTTGTTAATAGCGAGTATTGGACCATAAAATAAAGTGTGACCAAAAAAAAAAAATTTTTTTTTCCTTTTTTTTTCAAAAAGGCGAAATTTGGGTTTGTGGAGGTTTCTAGTTCTTAACAACTTACAATAGAACATTTATAAATAATAGAAATCAAGATTTATAAATGATTGTTCATTGATACTTCATGATACCTAATGCATGAACTAATATAGAATCTTATAGGAAAGTGTTTTTTATATGTTTTGGGTGGTATCCTCCATTACACAGATGTCTTATAACTTATATCCAGTGGAACACCTCAAATAGCAAAGAGTTTAAATACCTGAAAAGAACTAAACTTTAAAAAACATAAAAATTAATTCAGAGCATCCAGAAACACAGATTCAAGTCCAAAACTACACTACTACAATACTTCTGATGTAACACAGCGAAGCACCTGCCCTCATTTCTACAGCTGTTGCAGTATTTCATCAGTGGCTGGACAGACCTGTTACTCATTAACAGATCATTTCAATACTTTTTTCAAATTTCTGAAGGCAGCCAAGGCCATAAAGCAGAACAGAACATACAGGAGCTTAGTCCATAATTCATAAAGGTTCAGACACTTAAAGGCCATGATTCTGCTCTGTACTTGTCTGTATAAATAAACAGTGTTTGCATAGTATTTATAGTTTAACTGTACCATTTGTAAGACCATTAGTTTTTTAATTAGTTAACACCATTAGGTTTGGCTGCACTTGACAGCTCGTAACAGCCGCAGTTACTAAATTAAATAAAATTTTGAATAAATGTAGTCTAATACAGTACATTCATATTAGATTTAATATGAAACAATAACATTTCTGTCATAAAACCAGTTGCTACAGTAAAAAAAAAAATCTTAAACATACTTATATTTAGATTTAGATTATAATTTAGGGGGAGGCAACATTACTAGAACATTGTTCTAGAAAGCATCTGATTGGACAAAATATTTAAGTGCAATGTGAGTAAGGTTGCACTGCTATAAAAATGTTACTAAATCCATGACGATAATTATTTTCATGGTATGGCTGATACCAGATAAATGGCAGATGTGACCAATCTATACTACTTTGTTAAAAAAAAAGAAAAAAGCACTAAAATTAAAACACACTATTGCTACATGTACACAGCAACACACACGCACTTTTGTTTTAAGAGCGGTTTAGGAGATAGAGCTTGTAAAATATTTGCCTTAATCAATCACTATTTCATTAAATTAGTGCTAGATGACTATTTAACTCTTAAAAGAGGTGGAAAAAAATAAATATCCAAAATTGCCAGATAAATACCCAAAAATGACCTATATAACAATAAATTGAAAATGTGCCAATATCGGTTGATAACCAATATGGTGAGAACATATTGTGCATCCCTAATTGTGAGTCTTTTTAAATTCTCAGAGGAGAGAAACTGTAAATTTGAAATGAATGTATTCAAATGTATGCATTCAAATGTGCACATTTGAATACATACATTTTATAATCCTTTTATTCACTGTAGACTTATAGGCTTATGAAACTTTGTTTACTTAAAATTGTTCATCTTGTCTTGCTTAAAAAGGAAGCAATTAGTATTAGCTCTTAACTGAACATTATAAATATCTGCATCAAATCAGCCATCTGCCACCCTGCTTTCTAGATACTGGCATCAGTCACTAAAAACCCATAATGTTCGACCTCTACTAATCCACAATTCTGTGTCTATGTATGCAGAGTGGGTATTTTACAAATGCATGAAGTCAGGCAGCTAAGACGCATTTGACTCTCCATTCATGCGTCTATCCGACAGAGGATTTTTGTAAAAATGTCACCAGCTTTCAGTGGCTCTGCCAGCATTAGCGCGCTTCATGGTCAGAGAGGGTCTATTAATACCCTTCACAGTGAGGAGGTGCTATCTGTGCGCACATCTTCACCACCTCCATGACTCAGTGGTAATGATCCCTGTAGTCTCCAGGGGACAAGTGCTCCCTGAAACAAGCCACTTTAGTCTGGCTGGGTCTGAACTTGGCTCTGTTTTGATGAGATCTGAGACAATGAGTTCTGGTGGAGTCTGCCATTATTTCACATGACAGAGTGGGAGTACAAAGACTCAGATAATGGAAGAAAATGATTCCACTTATATTACAATGCCACCAGATGAAACTCTTATCAAACACTTTTGATTTTCTCAGAGTTCAATGTATATTCCCGAATTTCGTCAAAGAAACCAAACTGCCTGACCTCTAAATCTGAGAAGAAATTTCCACCGAGAAAAGGCCTAGTGATCAGTGCACATGCTCCAGACAGCTCTGTGGTGCTCATATGAGGGATGCAGGTTCGAATTCAACTGTGCTCAGTGTGTTCTATGTAGGTACTGTCCTTACTCAATCTAAAACAAAACAAAAAATAAAACACCAAAAATAAAAAAGGCAAAACAAAAAACAAAGCAAAGCAAAAAACTTAAAGCAAAGCCAAAGCAAAAACACAACAAAACAAAAAAACTAAAACCAGCCAAGCTAAGCCAAGCAAGGCAAAGCAAAGACGAAGCAAAAAGCTAAACTAAAAAACAAAACAAAAATGAGCAAGTAAAAAACAAAGCAAAACAAAGTGAAACAAAACAAAAACAAAGCACAGCAAAAAACAAAAACAAAAAGCAAAGCAGATAAAACAAAACACAGCAAAACAAAAAAAACAAAACCAAGCCAAACAAAGCAAAGCAAAAACAAAAAGCAAAGCAAAAAATAAAGCAAAGCAAAAAACAAAAACACAACACAACAAAAAACAAAAAACAAAACCGAGACAAGTAAAGCAGAGCAAAGCAAATCAAAAGCAAAGAAAAAAATAAAGCAAAACAAAACCAAAACACAAAACAAAGCAAAAAACAAAGCAAAGCAAAACAAAACAAAAAATGGTAACACTACAATATGGTCTCATTACTTAACGTTACTTAATGCATTAACAATTAGAAATACATCTGTTAAAAGTATTTATTAATCTTTGTTAATAAAAATACTGTTATAGTTGTTTATTGTTATTTCATGTTGGCTCAGGTCCATTAAATCATATTAAAAGATACAGCTTTTTGCTTTTAGTTATGAATTGCTAAATATCGAAATGAACATTAACTAAGATTAATAAATGCTTTAGAAGTATTTTTATGACCTTCTATAATATGTAAATATAATAATATTCCTATATAATCAAATTCACCCTTCGCCGGGAGCTTGATTGACAGGCGATCTGACCAATCATAATTCTGAATCTGCAATTTGTCCGACAAACAACCCAGACAGGAGAGTAGATTAACATCGGTCGACTTGAACTTGAAAAATGGTGTGTGTTGACGTCTTTCTGCGATTGAACAAGAAACCTTCTGATGTTCATTAATGTTTATTTCGTGCTATAACTAGATGACCGGTTCATGTGCTGCTTGAACTGAGGCACTACAGCGATCTGTCACGACAAATAAAAGAGCCACAAAATGGTATTTATTGTTTGAATTTTTGACAAAATGTGAAAAGCTGAGACTTTTTTTCATTCCAAAAGTAACCTGCTCTGTCTTGTCTGTCGGCGTGTTGTCAGTATCCTCTTTGCTCCGCGATGTATTTTTTACTACGTGAGAACGATGTGTGCCGTGAGAGCGCCGTGACTTATCAGACGGAGCAACAGTAACTAACTAATATTTAGTAAAAAATACTACTAACAGCTACTTTTGAATGACTATCATTGTAGTTCTTTACTCAAACTCTTGCACTTACCTCGGACACTGGCATCTCAGCCAATCCTGTGCCGTCTTTAAGGGCGACGCCCCTTTCCCTGAGAGGGACGGTACTTTAGGTAACATGACTGGCAGCTCCTCCACTGGAACTGGCACAGGCCCGCATGCGCTGCAGTGCACTATGGGAATGGGTGTGCCCCAGTAGCGCTGCCTCGAGATCAGCCAATCACGCAACTTGGCACTAGTGAGGTATCCACCAGCGTTCCTCTCCCGAGCTTTCTGGGTAACAGAGTTAAAAGCTTCTGCCCGGCTTTGACCTGTGAACTACAGTGGATGAGATGATCCGGATGTGTAACCGGTTAGCTGGTTAACCTCTGCTCTCATGTTTAACCGTGATGGTGGGTTTACCTCATCTGAGTTTATTAGAGTCTGTGTTCCGTCTTGTTCTGTCTTCAGAACAGAAATCCAGCTCAAACCCAGACACTGAGCCAACTCTGCTTCCTGCTCACTGCTATCTGGGATGCCTGTTATAAAGAATAAAAAAGAAAGAGTTGTTTAAAAAAAAAAAAAAAAGCATTGTATATATCTAATGTTAAATGAAAGAATTGTGACTCTTTGTGGTTGTGAAACAGTTAAATTCTGGAGAACTGACTCCATCTAAGGGTCACTTCATGTGTTTTTACTTATCAATTAGCAATCTAATTTGTTAAAACTTTTCATATACTATTGGCCACATAAATGTGTCTCTGCAAAATGAACAGACATTCAATCTTAGCTATCCAATCAGAGAAAAAGCATTTGGTATTTTGTATCTAACGCAATTGCATTTGTGGGTCAAAATGAACGTGTCAAGTTTGTGGAAACAATCTTTTTTTCATGTTGGTTTCACAACTTTTTTGCTGAAAATATAGAATTTATACAACATACAAGTCTTTATGGAATGTCAAGCAGTGTAACCATTAAGAAAAACATATGCTTAAACACTGAATGCATGTAAGTGTTAATCATTATTTAAAAATATAAACAATTATTATATTGCTGGAGTAAATAAATACGATTTTCTTTTTAATTATGAATATCATTCTTAGAGTTTACCATTTGAAAACCTGAACTACTTTTGCAATGTCATAAAAAGATCAAATTAACAAATATTTGTATGCATATTTTATATACAAAATATTTATATATTTCAAAATATATACTGTTTTGTGGTTTTCACACACGTAAAACAAAAAACATGTGAACTAAACAATACTGTACTGATTTGGTGGACAAACTGTTTTCAAATATGAATAAGATTTTAAAACAAAACTGCTTCACCGTTTAATTAAAATAATAACAAAAGTTTATTCAAACAATACATTACACAGAATTTCAGGATTTTAATTACATTACATTTTCAGGTTGGTTAAAGCTTCTTGATATTTTCTCTAAATCCGAATTTAAAAACATTTTCTTGAGTGGATTCATTGTATAAATTAAACATTTTAATGAGCATCATGTCACTGACTTTCATTCATTTTTTAAGCATGCCATAAGTGTTTAAATACTTTTTGGAGCAACTGTACATGCAATGACAAACGCACAGAAGAGGTTAAAGAACTGTTACAGAAATGCTTAATGCTGGAGTACAGCATGCTGGGAACTTTGCTTTCTTCATGTAAATAACTTAATAAAATAAAAGCTAGTGATGCAACAAAATTTCAGCAATCAAAAAATTTAGGCTGAAATGGCAATTTTCGGTAGAGAGCCGAAATCATTTACCTAATTAGTGCTTCTCCTATGGTGCTTTTACTTTGTTTTCGTTTTTTTCTAAAAATACAGTAAAAAACATTTTAAAAATCTTAATCTGCATAAGTGCATTAGTAGATCACCATTACATGAATGCAGTCATTCTTTATTGTCACTTTGCTTTCTTCATGTAAATAACTTAATAAAATAAAAGCTAGTGAAATTTAGAAATTTCTAAATTTCTAAAAAAAAAGCTAGAAATTTCAGCAATCAAAAAATTTAGGCTGAAATGGCAATTTTCGGTAGAGGGCCGAAATCATTTACCTAATTAGTGCTTCTCCTATGGTGCTTTTACTTTGTTTTCGTTTTTTTCTAAACAGTAAAAAACATCTAAGGGTCACTTCATGTGTTTTTACTTATCAATTAGCAATCTAATTTGTTAAAACTTTTCATATACTATTGGCCACATAAATGTGTCTCTGCAAAATGAACAGACATTCAATCTTAGCTATCCAATCAGAGAAAAAGCATTTGGTATTTTGTATCTAACGCAATTGCATTTGTGGGTCAAAATGAACGTGTCAAGTTTGTGGAAACAATCTTTTTTTCATGTTGGTTTCACAACTTTTTTGCTGAAAATATAGAATTTATACAACATACAAGTCTTTATGGAATGTCAAGCAGTGTAACCATTAAGAAAAACATATGCTTAAACACTGAATGCATGTAAGTGTTAATCATTATTTAAAAATATAAACAATTATTATATTGCTGGAGTAAATAAATACGATTTTCTTTTTAATTATGAATATCATTCTTAGAGTTTACCATTTGAAAACCTGAACTACTTTTGCAATGTCATAAAAAGATCAAATTAACAAATATTTGTATTCATATTTTATATACAAAATATTTATATATTTCAAAATATATACTGTTTTGTGGTTTTCACACACGTAAAACAAAAAACATGTGAACTAAACAATACTGTACTGATTTGGTGGACAAACTGTTTTCAAATATGAATAAGATTTTAAAACAAAACTGCTTCACCGTTTAATTAAAATAATAACAAAAGTTTATTCAAACAATACATTACACAGAATTTCAGGATTTTAATTCCATTACAATTTCAGGTTGGTTAAAGCTTCTTGATATTTTCTCTAAATCCGAATTTAAAAACATTTTCTTGAGTGGATTCATTGTATAAATTAAACATTTTAATGAGCATCATGTCACTGACTTTCATTCATTTTTTAAGCATGCCATAAGTGTTTAAATACTTTTTGGAGCAACTGTACATGCAATGACAAACGCACAGAAGAGGTTAAAGAACTGTTACAGAAATGCTTAATGCTGGAGTACAGCATGCTGGGAAATTGTTTAAGTATATGCGTAAAAAAACACTGGAAAATAACTAGAGCGGTGAACTCCATACACATCCCTGATGCATACTGTAGATTCTCCTTAAAGAATTCACACACACACACAAAATGTAATGACACTGCAGTCTCTGCTAGCCGAAATCATTTACCTAATTAGTGCTTCTCCTATGGTGCTTTTACTTTGTTTTCGTTTTTTTCTAAAAATACAGTAAAAAACATTTTAAAAATCTTAATGATCCCAAACTTTTGACCAGTACTGTATGCACTCTATTACATATTCATTATATTTTTACTTCATTATCTAATGTTTGTTTGAATAAATATGTCATGAAAATATATATTTTTTACTACAGCCACCATTTAAATGCTTATATTTCAACAACAAAATGAGTAGAAACATAATTCTGTTATTACAAATGTGTCTTATGTGCACTTTAAATGTTTGTACAAATGTTTGTTTTTATTTGAGTGTTGATGATTAAATGCATTTAATTCATTGACTGATTATTAAATAAACTATTTTCAGTTTTGGTTTTTGGAAAACTTTAATTTTGGTTTCAGTGTTTCGGTAAACATTTCATTTCAGTGCATCACATAAAAGCTTTAAAAGTGCTGATGAAATATGTTTCACTATTAAACCCTATTGAACTCCTTCAGTCTCCATAGATGATGTTCCTGAGAGAATCACTTCATGCACCTAACATCTGTGCCTTCAGGAGTGAGTGTGTGAGTGTGTGTGTGTTTCTCACCTCTGCCGGGTCTCAGGGTTCTGAGCAGAGCCGTTTTGAGGGTACTGGAGCCGTGCAACAGCCGGTGGGAGGGCAGGACTGAGACATAGGCCGCTCCGAACACAGCCTCTGGAGAACCGGTGTATGCAGCCAACACCTCACCTGAGTCACGACCATCCACCTGACAAACAGATGCAATAGATGCACACAGACTTTAATAAGCACAAATATCCTCCCACAACAGAAAACACAACAGACTCGAAGAAACAAAGCTGTACACGCAGTACACAGCCTGCAGCCAAACTCCGAATCAAACCTGATGAAATGCACCCGCTCATATGCCAGCATGGAAATTCATCATTTCATAGAAAGCGCTGTGTGAGCGGTTAGCAGTAAATACAGCTCTGAAAGAGCTGCGGAGCTGATGAAAACCAAATCCTGTCTGGTTGCACAAGAGCTGTAAGTGTATTTCACAGATGAAGCATTCAGTACCTTCATTATGTGGTTGAAAAAGCAGCCTGAGCAGTCGCCAATCCAGTTGGCCTGCATACTTTTGACTCCATACCATTCGGGGAGATCTGCCAAAGCATCCAGAAGAGGCTGCAAGACAGAATTCTGTATTAATAACTAATAAAAATCATAAATAAATAAATAAAAACATGGCAATATATTTATTTAATTGATCTAATCTCTCTAAATATACACTATCATGAAAAATTATGAAAAAAATGTTTTAAAAAAAAAGTTTCTTATGTTCACCAAGGCTGCATTTATTTGACACAATAAAACAGTTAACTTGTAAAATATTGTTACAATTTAAAATAGCGGTTCTCTATTTTAATATATTTTAAAATGTAATATATTCCTATGATGTAAAGCTGTATTTTCAGCATCATTACTCCAGTCTTCAGTGTCACATGATCTTCAGAAATCATTCTAATTCAAGAAACATTTCTGATTACCATCAATTTTGAAACCATCATACATCTTCCTTTTTTTTTCAGGATTCTTTGGTTTCAAAAGAACCACATTTATTTGAAACAGAAATCTTTTGTAACATTATATGTCTTTACTGTCACTTTTAATTAATTTAATGCATCCTGGTTGAATAAAAGTATTTAATTTCCCCCCAAACTTTTGTACATGTAAATATATTACCTATTTCTGGTTTGCCAACTAAAATATTTCCAAAACCATTGCAGTCTCAGTAGTGCCATTACTAAATGAAGCAATGCTTTAATAAATTGGTTAAGTGAATAATTCAACGCCTCATCGACGTTCCTTTACAATCCAGAAAAGTGTTCATGAGCCCCCCGTTTGTGGTCCCTATTTGCAATATTCTCTCCCAAGCGGTCAGGGATTAGCATGGTCATTCCCTGCTGGTAGATGCCACCACTACATCATTCAGCAAGACGAAAACTGAGCAAAGCTGTATATAGGTTGCACACTTTCAGGGAGTCCTAACCACCATTGAGATGAATGGGAAGGCTAATGGACAACTTTCTCCAAGTATTATAGACTTCCTTGATCTCTCCATGCTGATGTCATGCAGCCCCAGCTGTTTTAGCAAAAAAGGTCAATTGGCATAAAACGAGCGACTGCCTTCACATTACAAGTGAAGAGCAAAGCTTAAAGAAAACCTCACGAACTGCTCAAAGTCTCAACACACACACACACAGACTCAGGCTGAAAAAAGAAACTCTTGGGGGTGAAGGAGAAAGGATGAGGCAGCCGATGGAAAAGAGGAAGCTATGCATAATAACGAAGGTTCAGGCCGAAAGGCTCAGCTGGGCTGCCGAGCACTGAAAGGATGGGATATGAAAAGCTAACGGTTGGGGTTTGACATCTCGCTCCTCTCTGTCACTAGCCATTAGCGGTCTCACTCACAAGAGGCTTCGCTCCCTGAGCGCTAAACAAATAGAAAATAATTGAAGGGCCCCAAATGTTGTCCGCTTCCTCGGCACTCCACTCATTAGCAACTCGGACGCACTCGCAGGAAGGACATTTTATACTTGCACGAAGAGGCGGCAGGGGGTAGAGATGTGGCCGTCTCATTTTAGAGAGCTCAAATCACGGTATTCAAATCTTCAACTCATTTGAGCAGAGCGCTCTACAAAATGAGTTCTGAACAAGACAATGAGAGCAGTTTTTGAAATGCGTAAAGGTCCTGAATGTCATTCTTTCAGCTAAAACACTTTCTTCCAGTCTGATGTCTCGGGAGAACTATACATAAGCCAGTAGATTGACTTCTTGAAGTATGTAAACTGGTAATGCACTTATAAGTCTGCGATCCGCCGTAAAGCAAGAAGAAGAAGACGCGAACGCGCTCAGGACAGTTGGGACATTGCGGTGAATCAGAGGTAAAATACGGTTTAGTTTCTTGCACAGACCAATCGTTTCGTGTCTTTAGACATCAATGTATCGTCACAAGCCGCAGGGTTTAATTTGGTTTTGTTTGTGTATGTTTTTTTTTTTACTCTCAAAGCCGTGATTCCTATTCACTTCCATTATATGACTGACCGTTGCAGTCTGTCAGTCATATAATGGAAGTGAATGGGAATCACGGCTTTAAGAGTAAAAAAAAACATACACAAACAAAACCAAATTAAACCCTGCGGCTCGTGACGATACATTGATGTCTAAAGACACGAAACGATTGGTCTGTGCAAGAAACTAAACAGTATTTATATCGTTTTTTACCTCTGATTCACCGCAATGTCTGAACTGTCCTGAACTGTCCTCGACAGCCGGTGCGTGACGCGTCTTCTTCTTCTTCTAGCTTTACGGCGGATCGCAGACTTATT